TTTGTAACTGATGTAAAAATTTGTNCGGAGTCGAAGAAAGCTGGTAGCTGTGTTCTGATGTACACCCAACCAGCTGCCTCACATTTTGTCGTTAACTGCAATTAACAATGATATTACCTCTCACCAAATCAGCCAAAGAGAAAATTGAAATTATTAATTGCGATAATTGAATTAGAATTACCTTGAGCGGTTTGCCTTGAACCAAGCCATCGCTACTAACAACGTCAACAAACAATTCAAATATCGCTTTAAATAATTCACCGAATCGCTATTCACAAAATCACGAATTTCACTAATCACGAATATCACTAATCACGAATATCACTAATCACGAATATCCCAATCACGAATATCACCAATCACGAATATCACCAATCACGAATATCACCAATCACAAATATCTTGCGACGTGCGCTTATATACTCTTCGCAAGCGTCGTTTCTAGATTCTTCCCGATGGTCCGATTCCAGCATACTCTAGAACGTTCCAGTCACTAGAACATTCTAGAATACGCTAGAATCTAGTGCGTTCGGTAGCACGGTTATAACAGTATAAATATAAATGCAGAAAATTATACTAATCCCTTTTCTTTTTTAAATGTACTAAATATAGTATATAATATATAAAATGCAATACGAAATCGAATTTAAAAAAGCAAACGAGATAAAAACTTCGCTAGCGATAATTTCAGATCAGACGATTAATCAAAGATGCTGAAGAAGACAACGACAATGCTTGATCCATGGAACAAAATAATTTTTTTAATAAATTAATTTTTCATTATTCATTATATCCATGATGTAAAGTTTTAAAGCCGAGGGGGCACAAGAAAATTTTTTTCTTAAAATGGGCGAACCGCTGTCATAAACATTTGCATTTTAAATGTTTAACTTTTTAAATAAATATTTAAAGTGATAATAAAATTAATTGTGAATAGTTTCAGGTCAAATACTAATTTTAATAATTTTTCATATAGATATGTGAGTTTATAACTGGATAATTGCGTGATTTAAAGCAATTTTAGCATAGGTTTCCAGTTGTAAGAGAGTAAGAAAAAAAAATTGATGGTTTTCGTTTCCCGGTATTTATGTTCCCTAATATCTTTCTTCATATTATTAATTTCTTAGTTCCGAGGGCGCCTCAGTCACTTGCATTGGCGATTTATAAATGATATTTATTATTATTATTATTTCTCATGTCTTATCCTTTTAGGACATTGGCGACCATCGACCTCCACAAAATCCGATATTTAACACTTTGTAGTAGTTGAAATGTGTTCCTAATATATATTGTCAGAATTATGAAATAATACTGACTAAAAATACTTCAAAGTTTTCAACGCAAAATTTATTCACTCGATAGGGGGCATGGTGCAAGTTGATTTACTCGATAGGTGACAATTGTTTTGCAATTTAGATGACGTTATAAATTATTACAAATTATTTTAAAATTTAATTAGTAGTTTTTTTGATTAATTGGACATACCTTGGAAATTATGTTTAAAAACATCCAAAACAAAATCTAATTTTGCTTTGATATAGAGTTTCTTTATCTTTAAAAAAAAGGAGAGAGTCCGCACTGGGTTGACTAGTTAGGCAGCCTTGAATAATCGGCGCCTATTCTGGTCTCTAAGAGACTTAATTCGATATTCTATGCTCATTGGCACGGAAACGTCTTAAGATCTCGAAAAGGGTCCGCCTTGGGTTCACCAGTTAGGCAGCTTCGATTAATCGGTGCCTATTCTGGTATCTAAGAGACTTAATTCGTGATTCTATGCTCATTGGCATAGTTTCAGAAACGTTTTAAGTTCTCAAAAGTGGATTTGTTACGAGACTCTATGCTCATTGGCATAGTTTCGCACGCGTACTAAAGTCACACAATTTGTTTCCAGTGTTGTTCTGACTCTTGTTGTTTTGTGTTGGTTGTGCGAAAGCCGACCAGACTCGACGGCCTAGTGAAAACAGGCCAGGGTTGTGCGAAAGCCGACCGACTGACAGACAGGCCCAGTGAAAACAGGCCCTTGGTCGTGCGAAAGCCGATCAGACTCGACGGCCCAGTGAAAACAGGCCAGGGTTGTGCGAAAGCCGACCGACTGACTGACAGGCCCAGTGAAAACAGGCCCTTGGTCGTGCGAAAGCCGATCAGACTCGACGGCCCAGTGAAAACAGGCCAGGGTTGTGCAAAAGCCGACCGACTGACTGACAGGCCCAGTGAAAACAGGCCTTGGATTCTGTGGAAACGAATCAGCCTCGTTGTTTTGTTTATGTTGTGCTATTTGTGGACCTAGGGTTTTTTGCTGGATTCTATACTCATTGGTATAGTTTCACACGCAGCTTGGAATTTCCATAGGCTCCGATTTTTGTAATTTTTCCGCATTCATTTTTATTTATTTCTTGGAGTTGTAACGACATCACTATCGGTTACTCACGTCGAGGTTGTACGATTAAACGGCAAGAAACATATCCCAAGTCGAAGACCCAACAAGAAGAAGTTCTGAGAAAGATGGAGGAGGAGATTACCTCACACCACCAGTTGTTTAANATTATATTAAATTAAAAGTATAAAATTTCCGACAATATATATATATATATACTGATACACCCCACTTTGTTTATATCATATATATATATATATATATATATATATATATATATATATATATATATATATATATATATATATATATATGATATAAAACAAAGTGTCGTGTATCAGTGATGAATTCCGATAGCAAAATAGAGCATATAACTAATGAGCTTTTTATTATCCCTAAGCAGAAAATATGCTAATTACCCAATAGCAACATATATGCTAATTACCTTTGCGCAATGTGCTTTATTTATAACGCAAAGGCCTACATATTGTATTTAATATAAATGATCTAAGCATATATATAGAATATACATACACACATTTGTTTTTAATCACATATGGCTCCAACGTTACAACAGTGCCCCGTCTGCTTTAACCACTACAGAAGCACTCCAGTCGGGAAGTTATGTCGGCACGGAGGTAAAGTGAAAGGACAGGAATGCTCGGGGTCCCGGAAAAAAGTTAATCCATCGGGCGCGAGGGCTGCTTCGCCTTTCGGTGCCGCACCCGACCCCAAGCCTAGGCTGTCCACACGGTCGACGGCCGCATCGGTCTCCAGTGATCCTCTCGACCTGGATTACTCTGGTGTTTTTGACAAGCTGACGGCCGTGCTGAAATGTGTACCGGTGTACGACCATATCCCTAAGCCATGCAAGAAGAAGTTCGCACATGATCTGAACGCCTTGCTGACGGCTGTTTGTAATGACCCTGGTGATAACCAGATTGCCCTGGTAATAACCATGGCAATCTGGTCAACAAGCGTCTAAGCGAATATTCAACTATTGCTCTTGAAACCCTGGTACTGTGCTTTGATGGGTTCAATAATACCAAATCACAAAAGCACAACCCCGATCGGTGGATCAACTCTCTGTCATCTTGTATTGAACAGAGAAACCTGTCCTCGGCTGTCATACTTGTCTGTTCGCCGGAGGGCCTGGCGGAAAGCTCGCCAGCCACTTTCAATAAATTATGTTCTATCCTCCCAAAAATTCCGGTGGACAGGCGGGTCTTCCCCGCATTGGCACCAACGGCTGGTTGCGTTTTTCCCGCCGAGGTGCTGAGGGCCGTTGAATCGTTCGAAAACGGTTCTTCCGGAGGCCTGGACGGCCTACGACCCCAGCACCTTAAGGATGTTTTTTCTGGCTTCTTGCCAATCGACGACACACTGAACTCCTTAACCCAATTCATTAATTTGATCCTATCTGGAGCTTGCCCACTCTCCGTCCGCCGGTTCTTCTTTGGAAGCCGGTTAATAGCTTTAAATAAGAAAGACGGAGGGGTCAGACCGATTGCGGTCGGGAATGTTTGGAGGAGGTTGGCCGGCAAATGCGGCTTGGCCCTGGTCGTGGTCGAACTCAAGACCAAATTCTACCCGACTCGGGATAAAGGGTGGCGCTGAGGCCGTTGTTCATGCGGTTCGATGATTGGTCACCGACCTCCCCGATCAATGGGGCTTTCTGAAACTGGACTTTAAAAATGCCTTCAACGCCTTGAGAAGAGACTCGATGTTGGAGGCTGTCAAACTTTTTTGCCCCAATATCTATAATTTTTGCCATTCTGCCTATGGCGGAGTCTCTTCTATTGGCTACCACTCTTGGGTTGTAGAATCGTCCGAGGGGGTACAGCAGGGTGATCCCCATGGTCCTTTGCTGTTCGCACTAACTTTTCATCCACTCTTAGAGAAAGCTTCGTTCACTTTCGTTTGCTCTTAACTGGATGATATCAGCATTGCTTCGGACGGCCCAACTCTGGCCGATTGCTATGAATATATGAAGCATAACTCCGCTGCAATTGGTTTAGAGTTAAACATTAAGAAATGCGAACTTCACTGCCAAAGTTTATTTCAGGGGCCACATGCGCTGGCTGGAATACCCAGAGTTGGTGCATCAGAACTGAGTTTTTTAGGCACACCCTTGGTCGAGGGCGATTACCAAATAAAGTTTTTTGACCAAAAGCTCTCTGAGCTCAACTTAGCCCTGGGTCGTGTTTCCTGTCTTTTAGCCCATGATGTCTTGACTATTATCCGCAATGCCCTCAGTTTGCCCAAATTGATGTACTTCCTGCGTACATCCAAACACATTGATCCTTCTAAATTGGGCGAATTTGACAGAGCCCTGCGCACCGCCCTGTCGTCGATTTGCACTGTTCAAATGACCGACAGTGGTTGGTCCCAGGTTCAGCTGCCGGTGCGGTTTGGTGGGCTGTGGTTGCTTAGCGTGGTTCAGCTGGCTCCAGTTGTTTATAATTCTTCTGCCGCTGCCACTCTCGACCTGCAGTCTTCCCTGCTCCACCGGTTTTTTCGTTGCCGCGATATTCTTCTCCCAGTGTCTGCCCCGGGGGACCGTACGCACGTCCAAATTTTGAACGAAGGATATAAAAAAATTTTTCAAAATTTGTTGTTTTCATGCGGCAACGACTTTTCCACCGCTCGTTTGTTAGCCATGTCCAGCGTTGCCAGTTGTGGGTAGTTCAGATCGTGGCCCAACACCTCTGTGGGCACCAGGCTTGACGACGAGTCTGTGAGATTTGCCATTGGCTTCAGACTTGGCCTGGTCATTCAAAATAAATACACGTGCCGATGTGGCGCTGGGGCGGACGAGTTTGAGCACCACGGTTTGGTTTGTCGCCTGGGTGGGGGCCGTCAACTACGTCACTCAGCATTAAACGACTACATTTGTTGGCTCTTCTCCAAGGCTTCAATCCCAGTTCTCAAGGGACCATTCGGCATTTATGCGCATGATGGTAGGCGCCCAGACGGATGCACACTAATACCTTGGAGAGCCGGTAGGTGTTTGGCGTGGGATGTTACGGTTCCTGGCACCCTTGCCGAACGATATGTAAACCGGACAAGTAAAGAATGCGGTTTGGCCGCGGCCAGGGCAGCGGACGAGAAAATGAAAAAATATGGGAACGCCCTCCCCTCGATGGAATTCTTGCCAATATGTATCGAGGTTCTCGGCCCGATGGACCCCAACACCCTTAAATTTCTTAAGGCAATATGTAAAATGATCAGCATCAGATCAGGCGACAGCAGGGAACTGTTTTTCGCAACTAACCACATTTCGTGCTTGTTGCAGCGGTTCCTGCGTTTCTGTTCTTGAAAATATCCAACTGAATGCCGACATGTGCAATTAACGACAAATCAAAGTGTTAATCCATTTGTTACTTGATGTTTGACGGTTCAGTGTCACTCATCATGTTTTGGTTTTAACATACATAAATAGTAAATCATAATCAACAATATTTAAAATTGAGTAAAAAAATGCACAAAAGCGTGCTAGAACTATAATTTTAAATAGCATAGATTAACAAGGGTTTAAATTTTAATTGTTAACACGTTGTAAAAAACATTAAACCGTTGTTTTTTTTTACGACAATCTAATATAACATAACATAACAAAAAACTATGGGCAAGTCAAACATACTCTAAGCCCGTTCCAACCATTATTTACAGATCTATTTACAGTTAAAAATTTATAGTTAAAAATTTATTGTCTTATTGCTTCTACATCCGGTCCCTTGTATATCGGCTCAGTAATCATAGAAAACATCCTGATTTTTCAAAGTTTGTCCAGATAATTTTTAAAAGTGTTAACAGTGTTATCTTGTAATACGCCCTTGTGATCATTTTGTACACTTCTATCGTGTCACTTCGTAGTTGTCTGTACTTTAATGTTGCCAATTCCAGATATCTTATCCTTTGTTCATATGTTTTACCGTTGCTCGATGATAGGCTTTCAGTGGTTCTTCTTTGAGCATATTTATAAAATATAACTTCTGTAATTTAATAAAAAAAATAGTGATAAAATATTGGATAAAAAGGAACGATTATTTAAGTAGAGTTCTATTCCTATTTGGTTGAAGATACTGGAGTTATTACGGAACGCTTTTTGCATGGTGTATGTAACAATAATATAAAATTTACTATATATTATTATTATGTATATATATATTTATATATATAGCTATGAACATATATATAAAATAAATGGTTAGGAATATCTTTAATTATTTGTTTTCGTGGTTTCTTTTCTTAAGTTCATTTTTAAAAACAAGTTTCTTGTTTGGTTGAGTCAAAGACGATTTGGTCAAAGTTTTATTAATAGTGTTTAATTTAAATTGTCTGAATTTTTGTAAAACAGTATATAACATATAATATGTCGTTAACTTAATGATAAATAATGATAAAGATAAATTCACACGCAAAGAACGAACTTGATTTTAAAGAATCTCCTAAATCTACTATAAAAATAATACACACGCACATACCGGCTCAAGTAGTGTGTACGTCACTGTATTCATGGGCATTAGGTACGGTATCTGCTCAAGAATTGAAAAGAACTTGGGTTTGTATCATTTAATAATTTAATTGAATTGAAATTTATCAAAGGTTTACAATTACATTTACACAGCTTTTCGTTACTTTACAAAATTTTAAATGTTAAACATAAACTTTAATTAAAATTAAGGTTTTATAGTTTATGGTTTTTATTAACGATAAATCTATCGGGCGTGCGGGCCGCATGCCGACCATGAACTTGTTAGAGGTAAAACGTGAGATAGGTATCCTCCATGTTTACAAAAAATCATAATGTACTTTTAACAAATTAACTCCGCCTATTTTGAATTATCTAGCGCTGGATTATTTATTTATATCAAATTGAAAATAATTTAATACAAGTTAATTCTTAGTAAGTAATTTAATACAAGTTAATTCTTAGGTAAGTTTTTTAGATCATTACTTATCAAATATCAATGGCTTATGGAGTGGGG